ATGTTATCTGAAAAGGACAATGATTCTGAATCCTTATTACATGTGCAGGTACTTAACAGTTCCAAAAGGGTGATAGTCATGCACCTTTTATTTTAATTAGCTGAACAATGTGTTCATTCCTTTCAAGAATTTGGGATTTGTGCTCCATCCAGTACAGAAACTGGTGACGGAATAGATCTAGTCCATATCCACCATATGTCAAGTCAGTATTCCTATTGCAGGAAGCAATTTACAATCTGCACCTTGCAGGATATTTGCAAAATACTGATGGGGCCAGATCCTCAACTGGTATATTGACTTTAATACAGCTAAGCCATTGACTTTAAATCAGGTTGATAACGCAAAGTAGTACACATTGGAAATCATAATCCCGACTATATATGCAAAATGATGGGGTCTAAATTAGCTGTAACCACTCAGGAAAGAGATCTTGGGGTCATTGTGCATATTTTCCTGAAAACATCTGCTCAATGTGCAGCAGCAGTCAAAAAAGCTAACAGGATGTCAGGAACCATTAGGAAGGGTTAGAAAATAAACAGAAAATATCATAAAACCACTGTATTAATCCATGGTACATGCACACTTTGAATACTTCATGTACTTCTCACTTAATCTCAAAAAAGATATATTAGAATTGAAAAAGGTACAAAGAAAGGCAACAAAAATGATTAGGGATATGGAACAGCTTCCAAAGGAGGAGAGAGAACAAAGACTGGGACTGTTCAGCTTGGAAAAGAGATGACTGTGAGGAATATGTTAGAGGTCTATAAAATCATGAATGGTGTGAAGAAAGTGCATAAGGAAGTGTTATTTATCCCTTTACATAACACAAGTACCAGGGGTCACCCAATTAAATTAATAGGCAGCAGGTTTAAATCAAACAAAAGGAAGTACTTCCTCACACAATGCATAGTCAGCCTGTTGAACTCATTGCCATGGAGTGTTGTGAAGACCAAAACTATAACTGGGGTTCAAAAAAGAATGAGATAAGTTCATTGAGGATAGGTCCATCAATGGTTATTAGCCAATATGGTCAGGAATGCAACCCCATGCTCTGGGTGTCCCTAAACCTCCAGCTTCCAGGAGCTGGGACTGGACAACAGGGTATGGATCACTCAATAAATTGCCCTGTTCTGTTCTTTCCCTCTGAAGTATCTGGCACTGGCCACTGTCAGAGACAGGATACAGGAATAAACAGACCATTGGTCTGATCCAGTATGCAGTTCTTATGTTCTTACATACAGGATGTGGCTATACAAGTGTTTTTTCTGGTAGGTTAATGCACTTGTTACTGATAATACCTTCTGTTGGTAAAATGGCTGTATGAAAAACTTGGAAATACAGACAAGTGTGATCCAGCATGGAGGATCAATTTCAGCACCTAACAAAAACAGCTCCTTCCTGTCAGCATCTTTGTATTAAACAGCTGTAGTTTTTCAGCACCACAGTCATAGGGACAGCTCCACAATCACAGCTGTGTACCTGCCACCAGTCCTGAAAAGAAAGGAAATTTAACAAAAACCCTTCATCACTCTCAACCTTAACCTTCTTTATTTGAACCCACAAGAACAAGGAAATTTTGAGGCCACTAGGAAAATCCCTTGTGCCTAGATTTTTCAACACATATGAGATATATCTGGTTATCCATTGTTTGGAGATCTCCCTGCCTAAACATACACTCTTGATTTTCAATTTGAAATCAATCCGTTGTGATTATTTTGAGTGGCTATGTTTCATTTTTCTGGGGTCAAAGAGCTTAGCTGTGATCTCAACAGCAGTTCTTCCTTTGGTGTCCATTGTTATTAATCACAACTACCTACTCTTTCTGAGTTACAAAGTTTGGGAAGTTGTGAATGCAAAGACAGAAGCATGCTCGTGTGTTAGGAATGGGATTCCTGCTCTAGCAGACAGACTGTGCCATTGGTGATGGGAATGATCACATGGCACCAGCCAGATAAATAGATATATTATGAGCCAGACCGAACAGTGCTGGAGAGCAGAGTGCTAACCCAGGAGTAATCCCGTTGAAGTCTGCTGCTGGCAAGGGTAAGGATTATCGATTTGAGGAACAGATAGGGGGGCTGGGCTCTTACCTTTAGCACTGACGTGTTCCAGAGACATCCTGTTTATTCTCCACTCCCCATTCTCTCCAATTACATTACAGCTGTCCATAATGCCACTTTCCTGGGGGGTTCGAGCCAGAAAGGTTCCAACACGGACAATAGTTCAACTGGGTTTGGGTGGACTCCAGTAGACTTCCAGCCCCTTCACCGTGGAAATCAGTCTCCAAACACGTTTAGATGGGCTGATATCGGTCTTCTGCGTCCTGATCAGAAGCAGGGCTGTTGAAAAACCGTGACCATTATTCATTTAAAAAATGTTCACTAAAATTTGTTCAGGGAAATTCGAAAAAATTTCAGCCAGTTCTAGAAGTGCTAAGGAAAGATGCATACGGAATTCACCTAGCAAGCCGATAAGGGAAAGGACATCTAGGAACACATTTCACCCCAGGAGGGAGAGAGAGAACACCCAATAATAAATGATTATATCTACATCTAGTTATTATTCTGTTTTTAAAGTCAGTGTGAGGTAAATTAAAGCTTGTTTTCAAAAGACAGCGATCTCGAGGGGAGGTAAAAGGTGGAGAAACCCGTGAGCAAATATTCAGTAGCGATGGCACGAGGAATGGAGAGTGCATCATTTCCTCCTGAAAGATTCAATTCGTTTCCATGAACAGCTCTCAGACGCTGCGGGGCGAATAATTCCCCTTGAAACATTGAAATGTGCAGCTCCCTGTTCCAAACCTGATTCTTTTCTGTGCCAGCAAGCCCACCCCTCATTCATTAGTGGTGAAGTTTTGGCCCCATCGAAGTCAATAGGAATTGCCATTGAGTTCAATGCGGCCAGGATTTCACCCTCAGCGGGCCGGGGCTGTAAGGAGGGTTCCCCATTGGTCCTAAAATTGCGCTGGGTTTCCTCGTGGGAGTGGGCAGGCAGCGCAGAGAAGGGAACTGTTTGAGGTGGGATCCGAGCGAATAATGAGAGCCACTGGTAATGTCCATGCAAATTATATTGTTGCCAGAAAGCACGAGGAGCTGTGCCGATTTCTCTCTCCTGGTGGCCCAGGCGCTTGCAGGCTGTTTTCTGGGACATCCCCTGAAGCTGCGCAGCTGGGTCTCTGCAGCCTTCAGTGTCTAACCCAGTGATCTTATGGAAACCACCGACAGATCTGGACACAGAAAAGTGACCAAGATGGTCCAAATGAATTCACGGGGTTGTTTTTTTTTTTTAAACCGGAACACGTCCCACCCCCAACCTGCTTATAGGATCTTAATACAAAATCTTCCCCCATCTCCCTCCTACCCCCAAACTCACTCTTACCTCACCAAAATGGAGCCGAAAAGCACCCGAAAAATAAAGGGTCCCCCTCGTACTGTGTACATGGAAGATGGTGTGCTCTGGACTGGGGTTTTTATTTTTCCTATGTCTTTGCATTCATCTCCGTCGCTGCTTTCTCTAGTCAGTTAATTCTCTTTTCATGTCATTGCACTTCGTTTCATTATTTTTCATGTCTTCTGTTGCTTTTATTTTAGACACCAGCTGACACTTTTCAACAGCCTCAAAGAGGGGCTATTTGTCCCTGTCTAGTTAGGATTACCAGTAACGTATATATTGACACCTTCAAAATAGATGAGTTCTCTCTCTCTCTCTCTCTCTCTCTAATATAAGTAGCCAGGTATGGAAGGAGTTTACAGGCAGTATATAATTGCTCCTTACAATTCATCTAGGAAATCTTTAGGCTAGGCAGAAATCACAATAAAGAAAAAAAGCTTCTTCGAAAACATAGGGTTCGATTGACTTCTGTGAGATTTAACAGCGCAGTGGGGACTTACTGGAGCGAGCACTGGGAGGGCTGGCTTAGGAGATAATAGGAGATTTACCTTTGCTGAGGAGAAGCTGGCCCTATATTATTAGAAGGAAATTAGAAGCTCTGTTACTACTGTTAATTTCAAATGGCTGGGATTGTAATTCACTTTGCCTACTTGGGGTGGGATGGGCGCGGAGGGGAACCGCGTCTGTGTTTATAGCGAAACCACCATTGAGTGTTTCTGTCTGCTGCTGGCTGTCATTTCTTCCAGGCTGAGCGGTCTCCTGTTCTGTCTGAGTAGGACAGACCTTGACGCTAGCCCACCTTGGTGTGTTTCTGGCCCTGGAGAAGAGAAATGAACCCCTCCCCCTCACTTCCTGAACAGCTTGTTTTATTATTGGGATCTTGAGGTTTGCCTGGAGTTGGCATAACGCGCTTAGCTGTCAGCCCATTTCTAGGAGAAAAATGTTATTTTTAAAGTACTATTTAAACATGAGAGATCGCTCAGCAGTTTTTTGTTTAAGGAAGAGAAGTCTCCCAAATCCCAGTTCTCTTTCTGCTGAGTTTTCAGCAGGGTGCAGGACCAATGTAAACTCGAGGTGGTTCCCAGTTCAGGACTGTCTAGATGAGCTGCCTGGCTGGCTGGTACAATCCGGACCCGGGCCTCCCTTTGCCAGTGACTGCCCCCCAGCCCACGCCATGCACAGCTGTCCTTTGAAAGGGCCAGGATCAAACAGTCCCGGGTTTCACTGTGTCGCCGGTGAGTCACTTTCCCCAGGGCTGTAGCCCCGAGCCCAGCCAGCCGCCGCGCCTGGTGCACCTGCAAATGGCCCCGCGGGGCGTGGGAGTGACGCCTCGCCAGGGGCGGATCCACTCCTCGGGGAGCGCCTCTCCCGTGGGCCCTGGGGCGGGGGGAGGCACCACCGCCCGCCAGCCCCGCGGCTGCCGGCCCGGGACTGGAGTGGCCGTGACGCACCCCTTTTTCCATTTGCTTTGGCAGGAGATTAGGAAAGGCTCTTCCTGCCCCCCCTCCACTCGCCCCCCATAAATAGCCCGGGAGCAGCCGAGCGCTGCTGACAGACCCGGAGTCAGGATCCCGAGCTGCCAGCCCCGGAGTCGCTCCTCCAGCACCATGTTCTCCGGCCGAATGGAGGGAGCCCGCAGGGGACGGTCCTTCGACTCCATGAACTCCAGCTTCGAGGAGAACCAGCTGAATAACGAGGTACGGGCGGCCTGGGTGGGGGGCGAGGGCTTTTCCTACCCTCCCGCGGGTGGGCAGTTTGCGCGGCACAAGGGGATCAGCGCTGACACCCCGCTCCCCAACCCAGCAGCTCCAGGCTGGTGGGTTCAGGTTGGGAGAGCAGAGCCCAGTGGCGTTTGGCGACCGCTTAGTTGACTCTCGTGGCGTATTAAATATCCCCAAATTATCCGAACTGCATCGGGATTCGGGAAGATGTTTGTTGTTCGGTAACCTCTAGTGAGATCTTCTGCTTGGCCCCTGCTGGAAATGTCAGTATTTTCTCTCTCCTGTTTTCTGGGCAACTTGTAAAACTCAGCTCTCAAAGGGACAGGCGATCTAATGCAGGTCAGCTAGACCAGTGGTTCTCAACCAAGGGTACAGGTACCCCTGGGGGTCTTCCAGGGGGTATATCAACTCATCTAGATATTTACCTAGTTTTATAACAGGCTTCATAAAAAGCACTAGTGAAGTCAGTACAAACTAAAATTTCATACAGACAATGGCTTGTTCATACTGCTCTATATACTATACACTGATATGTAAGTACAATATTTATATTCCAGTTGATTTATTTTAGAATTATATGATAGGAATGAGAAAGTAAACAATTTTCAGTACTAGCGTGCTCTGACACTGTCATATTTTTATGTCTGATTTTGTAAGCAAGTAGTATTTAAGTGAGGTGAAACTTGGGGATACAGAAGACAAATCAGACTCCTGGAGGGGGTACAGTAGTCTGGAAAGGTTGAGAGCCACTGAGCTAGGCAATCAAGCTATCTTTTTGCAGTACAGTCACAAGGCGGGCGGGGGGAACAGAATCTATCCCATTAGGAAAAGGGCAAGAATTCTCTCCGGGGGAGAGTGGATTGGGGGGGGGGGAGAGGGTGAGATCATCAGCAGCAGAGAGACTCCTAAGGAATATCTCCCTCCCAGCAATTTAATACATTTCCACCCACCTCCCCAGTCCCCAACCGGAGGCTCAGAGACAGATTACCCTGTGTTAGCACTGTGCACCAGGGGACAGTGCCAGGTAGAAAGGATCTGGAAATACTCTCATGCAGGGGTGCTGGAACAATTTGTATAGTGGGGGTGCTGAGAGCCATTGAATAAAGCTATAAACCCTTTGTATGATGGAAACCACTTCAAGCCAGGGGGTGATGAAACACCCCTAGCACCTCTATTTCTAGCACCTATGTTCTCATGCTACTAAAATACAACATATGTCTCCTGATGTTTGAAACTACCATGAGCAAAAGGTGAGCTGGGCTGTCAGTCTTAAGAGTGCATTGCGGACTTATTGGAGCCAGCACTGGGAGGACTGGCTTAGGAGGTAATAGGAGATTTACCTCTGCTGAACCTGCCCTTGATGTAAGTAGTTTGAACACCCCTTCCTTGAGATCTGGAGCAGATTAGGAAAGGCAGAGGCTCCATGTTAGTTCAGCACAGGGCCGGCTCTAAGTTTTTTGCTGCCCCAAGCCCCTTTCTCTACCACACAAGGGACAGGATCAGCCGTATCCCACACCTAGTTGTCATTTGGCATGAGATGGGCAAGTCTATCTAAAGCCAGACAAGATGCATTAGTTTAAAGCAGCAGTTCTCAACCTGTCCCGTTACACCAGAGGAAAGTTTTGGGGCACCACTGCGGTCTAGCCATAAAGTCTAACCTGAGCCTGTTCCCCTGCCACCTGCTATGGCCCCCTCTGGGGCTGCAAGAGCCTCAGATTCAGAGTTCATGCATGGAAAGCATAAGGGGAAGGGTAGTACTTTGTCTTGGGGTTCATAAAGATAAAAGGCCTGTTTGCACCCTAGTCAGTTTCACAGCCATTTCATTAGGGATTAGAGATGTCTTCCCATGGGTATAACATGGAGCCAATGAATTCTTAAGCCTGATTTTCAGTTGTTTGGAATAAATGACCTGCTGACGTTTTACTTCCTAATGGGATTAAGACAAACACCCTGGGGGCATTTAATAACTCCCCATTTAATCTTAGCAGTGCCGGTGTCCCGCGCTATCTGCACAGTCACCTACAAGATTAAGATGGATTTCGCTGAGCCCTTTTCAGCCCCACTGAGAAACTCTATGGGCCTGTGAATTACACGAAGTGGCTAGGGACCACTGGATTAAACTGGGATTACTCTTCTGATGTTAAGGCTGCTGAAAACATCGTAACCCCCCACTCCATATTCTTGTTTGCCAGCAGCTCTGCCATTGCTCTCAGGGTATTTTCAGTTTTAGAAAGAGGAATCTGGAATTCTGGAATTTTTGGTCTAGATTCTGATCTCAGATATACCAGTGTAAATCCTCAGTAACTTCACTGATGTCACTGGAGTTTCTCCAGATTTATGCTAGTGTACTTTACCTGAGATTGGAACAGGACCTGTTATTGCAAATTGTGCTTGTGTCTGAATAGAAAGGAAATCATTTAGCTAAGCAAGTAAAATTCAGAAACATGAGCAAATGAAATACAGGTAGCATAGAAATTACTTTTGGTTCATTGTTATCAGAGAGAGAGACAGAGAGACAGAATGAATTATCTGTTCCAGGAGGGGAAGAAGAAAGGGGGGAAAAAACCCTAAACAAGAGTAACTTGTTTTACAATGTGCATCTATTCTAATATGTCAGAGCATAGCCGATGAAACAGCCAGTTATCTGGGCAGCGTTTGATTGCCCTTAAGGGTATTATCCAGTATTCAGAGTGCTGTTCAGTATTCAGATAAGGTTAAAACTTTATTCCATTACTATCAGAAACAATAGCTTTACCATGTACATCAGATATTTCAGGAAGCCAAAGTAAACAGAATATGAATTGTATTGCAGAAGTTGTCCAGTGATGATATTTTGTTTTCCAGAATTTAGTCACATGAAGATTTTAAGCGAGGGTCCAATACCTTCCCTATCAGGTTGCATCCAATAATGGTCACCCAAAAGAACATTCCTTAATGCCTATTTAATAACAAACATATTTAAAGGAAATTGAGGAAGTAACCTGCAAATCAATACTATTTGAGGGGAGGATTAAAACATTAATTGCCCATCAAGTTTTATTCTCAAGTAAATTTGTCTGCCTAAATTATTGTAGACCCCCCAAACATGGCTTTATAATGGAAATGCTGCCAGACCCTTCATATTACTTGTTAGTGATATTATTATGATATGAAAAATACAACTGGGCTGGATCATGTACTCATATTGCACTCAATAGCAAAAGGCTCATCGACTTAAATGGGGACAGAATTATCCCCCTCTAATGTTCCCAGTTTACATGGTAGTCAAGTATGCATCTTATTTTTCCATAAGATGTATGTTTAAAGAGAGCTTAAACCTGCTCAAAGCCACACAGATTCTAAGGCGCAATAGGCAACTAAATCAGCAGTAATTTACATTCACTATTCTATTTTGACAGGGTTTTTTTCTCATCATTTCAGCTAGCTGTACAGTTAAAAGCTTTAAAAGGTGGTTAAATATATTCTTCTAAATTATAGACCTATTTACACCGTAGTCTCACACCCCAAAAATAAATTAATAAGACAAAAACCCTACCCCAGGAAGGGGTTTTACCTGAAAAGGGAGAAGTGCCGGAGATTCAATGAAGTCTAGCGGGGACTTTACTATTATTTTTTATTTTACATAGAAGGCACTCAGATACTACTCTGATGGGCAGCAGTATAAAATTCTCAGATAGCTGGATGGATGTTGAGTGTGCATTTTCACTGAGATTTAAGTCCTATCAAAGGCTAATTGTTTAATAGATCACTATTGCTACATTATTAGATAAAGAAAATAACAATGAATTGGGGAAAAAGTACCATTTACATTTTCAAAATGCCTTTGTCTTACCTTCTGGTTCATATTATAGAGAAGTAGTTTTCTGTTTAGAGATTGGCAGGTAGAGAAAACAGAAACATTTTTAAAATATGTATTCTATTTAAATGATAAACTATTAAAATTAATTGTTGCAACTATGTTACTATATTTTATCAATAATTCATGAGGAGATTGGTTATGGTTTGTACTTATTAACAGGAATATTCTTATAACACAAGGCCCCATCCTGCTCTGCTGATGCCAAAGGCAACAGAACAGGATCGGGCCACATGTGGTCTGCTAGTTTTCTCTGGAATTGTGATCCAATTTTGCAAGGTGCTGAGTGTCTTCAACAGGCCTCCCATTGAGTTGACTTTAATGGGAGCTGAGGTCGCTCATCATATCACAGGAGGTGCTCAGCACCTTGCAGGATTGGGCCCTTAATTCACAAAGGTGACCACCTGGATATGAATTTTTTTTAAATTGGGGTTTCTACTTTCTTTTGCCTCTTAATGAGGTGTAAAAAGGCTTGACAAATTATATTTTTAAAGATATTTGTTCTGACTTTTTTGTTTTGTTTTGTTTTTTACCGTAGAAGTACAAGGAATGTCCAATCTAGTCTTCACTGGAGGACTTTCTTTGGGTTTTGTGGATATTTATTGTGAGGTCCTTTCCCCCCCCCGCCATTCCTGATTGAATTACATGGCTGGAGGGTTATACAGGTTTTTACTTTCTGCTCTGAAAACTGAACATTTTATATTTAACCTAAGTGTTACTGTAAAAAAAAAAAATTAGCTTTCTCTCACATCCCATTCCCTCCAAAGGAGTGCACAGATGCTAAGAGGAAAAGAAAAAGTGACTGACCAGGAAGAGGTGAATAGCAGGTGCAAGGAAGAACTGGAATGTGGTGTAGAATAGCTATTCTCTTCTATGCTACCATTTTATTTCTGTCCTGGGGTTGCAGCAAAATGGTGGCTGCATTTATTCAGACCTCCTTTGCCATCCCGCTTTTTGTTCATTCTGTATAACATTATTATTGGAAACCAGTGGTCACTACTGTCCTTTTCATCATGCAAACATATGCGTATAAAAGAATCTGTATTCTAGAGATCTGTGAATTTTTAGTATTTCAATTTCTCTCCTCTTCTTTTCTCCCCCAGTTTTGCAAGATGGAGACACTCTTTAGAAACTACCCATTACAGTACAATACATTCTTTTCCTATGCTTTCTATGTCCCAGTCATATTGTGCTTTGTATGCTACATAAGTTGATCCTAAATATGACATTATTTTAACTTGGTCAATATGAAAAGAGAAAGTATTAGTGTTCATTTGTAATATTTACAGTTTGTGGTCAGTTGCACATCTTACAATATCATTTGAAACTATGTCAAATTTCAGAATAAGGTGGTGCATTACACTGTATAAAATGATTTTGCTCTCTGAGAGCTTTTGCTCTCAGACAATGACGTCCCACTCTGTGTAGCCTTCACTTATAACTTCAACTGCAGTATTGCTGGAGAAGGATGTGATCTGAAAATGGAAATGTGGGCCTCTGTGTTTGAGAATACCATGTTAATGTGTGTGAAAAGTTATTAAATTTTCCTGTCTGTACAATATATGACACTACTCCTCAAGCACCATAACTTGAACAGGTCCCTTTATGGATCTGATCCAAATCTCACTGAAGTTAATTGAAAGAGTGCCATTGCCTTCAGAGGACTCTGGATTAGACTCTATGGTCCAATTTCAGCAAAGGACCTAAGCATGTGCTTAAGCCCCAGTGACTTGAATACACATCCTTGAGTGTTATGTTGAATCAGACTATGGGTATGTCTACACGACAAGTGCTACTGCGGCACAACTGCAGCTACACTGCTGTAGTGCTGTAGTGTAGACACTTACTACAGAGATGAAAGGTTTTTTTCCATCACTGTAGTGAATCCACACCCTCAAGAGGCTGTAGCAATTCTTCCATTGACGTAGTGGTGTCTATAGTGAGGGTTAGGTCAACGTAACTATATCGCACAGGGTGTGGAATTCTTCACAGCCCTGAATGATGCAGCTAGATTGAGTTACATTTTAGATGTAGACAAGGCCTGAGTGATGAAGTCTACACCATTATCCAAAATCAACATTCGTCATATAGTAAAGAATCTTTAGTGACGCCCATTGAGTTCAGTGGGCTTTGAATCAGGCCCTAGCAAAGGGGATAACACCTGCATGCTCCAAACTAATGCATATAATTATGAAAAGTAACCCAGTTAATTGTTTTCTGCTCATATGCAGCTTGGCTTTCTCTGATGGAGTACCCATTACTTTCTCTGTAACCTAGAACTCTATCTTCTCTAAATATATGTACCTGCTTCTGTTCTTTTTCAGTACTCGCTCTTTGGGAAAAACAAATCCTAACGGCTTTGCCCTGATCCAATCCCACCCTTCTGCTTGTGGCCTAGCATAAAGCCTGATTCTACTAGAGTCATTCATTCCAATTTGCCTAATCTTATCATTTGGAAAGGCCATCTGTGTGCAGATGAGGTAGTCAACTTGAAGCAATGTGTGCCAAAATTAGCTGGGCCAAGTCTAACATATGTCAAATAGAGATGATCCATCCATAAAAAAGTTTACTTTGCCAGAAGTGATAATGGGATGCTATTTATAGGTCATCTGAGCTTGTTTTCTGTCTAGAGGGTGGTGTCTGTTCCTGGATCTTTTTTAATCCATCTTGGAATAAACATTCTCGTCTTGTTTTCAGCAAAATGTCAAATATTTTGCTACTTCAAGCAACCTGTTTAATTCTTAATGTACCATCACTTAATGCACAACATTCCTTAATGCACCATCATAGAAAGGGATATGGGGTAAAGTGGGAGCTACAAATGGGATGGGGGAAGAAGGCAGAGGGGGAATAAAGACATTTGAAGATCAAAATGTCATACCAATTGATATATCTGAAAGCTTTATACATAAAATTTGTCAGAGACTAAACTGAGCAGAGATCATTCTGAAACTTACATGTTGCAGCATTTTTAGAGCATGATTACGATAGTTATTTTAAAGCATATAGCAAAGAACTCTGAGAAGAAATTATATGGCTTTATTGATCAGATTATACCTAAGTTTCTAGTTAAGGAGTTTTATTCAACATATTTTTCTGGTTCCTTTAGGTTTTTGTCTGGTTCCTCTATAATAGTAGTGGCTTATGTCCAAACAGCAATTCTGACTCAGAGATGCAGAATGGAGAGGAACTCCCAGTGCTAGGGTATTAGGACTTAATGCAGCTCCTATTGAAGTCAATGAGAGTCCTTCCATTTGTTGCCTCCAATGGGTTTTGGATGAGGCTTTTCAAGTTTGTACTTAACCCCTAGAAGTATTCTATTGAAGACACACGCTAACGCTTATTATTTCTGCAAATCATTTATATTTAATTATAAACTATACTTTTATTAAATATATGCAGTGCATCCTGCTGAAGAACTACCAAAGACCTCCCCAAAGGGTTCACATTGATGTAAAATGCCCCCCCCATATTAAGCCCCAATTTTGTAAACACTTGTACATGTTCCCATCAGTATGCATGTTAGTGTATATAATGATTTGAATGGCACTTTATTTTTGCAATTGATCCATCAAAATGTGATATTATTGCACTGAGAGCTATAGCATATAAACTATACAGGAGTCTTTTCAACCTATTTCTCATTCAACAAATCTATATTTTCTTATTTTCTTTTAGTTAAATAAGTCAAATTACACAATGATTGAAGACAATAAAGAGAACAAAGACAATTCAGCTGAAAGAGGTAGAGCAGCTGTCATTTTTTCCTTAAAGAATGAAGTTGGAGGACTTGTAAAAGCACTAAAACTCTTTCAGGTATGTAGTCCTCACATTTCTACAGAAGGTTTTCTGAATGTAAGAGTCATTTTGGCACCCAGCATAATTTATTTCCCATAGTAAGAAAAGATCCATAATTAATTGTGAATGCAAAATTGTGCCTGCAAAATTAGAGGCTGCGTTGATACCCCTCAAAAACATGGCCCCTTCTCCTGCTCCCACTGAAGTCCAGAGGAGTTTTGCCTTTAATAGGAGAAGGATCAGTACCCTTGGCCTTTTAGAAGGGATGGATCCGAAATAATAACCCCCCTGATCAGAGTACTCCGGATCTCAACTATACTGCAGCTCCCCATTTCTATGATGGGATGAATCAAAACCCCACACTTGCAATGTTTCAAAGGTTGGGAAGTCCAGCTTTGAACTTTGTGGATTCAGCCTATTGGTACTACTTGCTATGTTTTCCCCTGAGTATGCTCCTCTTTGTGACAACTATCTTACATATGAAGGAAGACTGGATTAACTCTTTTCCAGATCACCAATGTCATTCCTTTATCAATGGAAGAAGTTGCATTACCATTGACAAGATGAGATACCCCAGGCTTTGAGCATACTGTCTATACAGCACACTGAGCCATTGGGGAGTAAGTGGGTTAATACTGCACTCCAATGTGTCCTTGCATAATATTACTACTAAGAGAGCCCTATTCATTCATTTTATGAAACATATTGTTAAGGAATATTCTTTCAGATATAACAGAAGTTAAAGATACTATTGGAAAATTACCATTTTAACATCTCTTTTTATTTTTAAGCGTAACAAACATTTATTGACTTGATTGGCAGACAGTGATTTATAGTGACTCAACTGCTAATCAACTATGCTAGCTAATTAACCTGCAGATTTTACACTTTCATTAGCCAGTGGTAGGTTTGCTAGAATAAGGACTATGGGATTTGGTCCACTTTATTATGCCTCTCTGTGCTTAAAATTTTTAAATAAAATATTTTTTACTTACATGGGCTCAAAATAACCAGAGGAAAAACAGAGTATATGGTATGGAATTTCAATAATGTGAACACTGAAGAATTATCATTGAAACTAGATGGGCAGACAATACGGAAAACACAAAATTTCAAGTATTTGGGATCCAGAATCCAGGAAAATGGGGAAATGGCGGACAAAATTAGAGCTAGGATAATAAACGCTTACCTCAAATGGAGAGAGATAAGTGGTGTAGTATGTGACAGGACGATACTAATAAGATTAAAAGGGGAAGTATATAAAAACAGTGGTCCATCCAGTTTTAATGTATGGCACTGGGCGCCAAAGAAGAAACATGAGCAAATGATCTGTTCCACAGAAATGGGAATGTGGAGATGGATGAGTGGTGTAAGCAAGAAAGACCATGTGAGGAATGTGTATGTTAGAGACATGCTCGAAGTAACACCCATAAATGAAAAAATGAGGGCGTGCAGGCTCAGACAGTTTGGTCATGTTAAGCAAAGTCCTGACAACTACATGGGGAAGAGAATCCAACAGATCAAGGCTGAAGGAAAAAGGCAGAGAGGCTGACTGAAGAAGGAGTGGTTGGTTGGAAAGAAGGAAAAGGAAGGAAGACATTTTAACATGTGGGGTGATAGAGTGAGAGAGGACCCCATTTGATGGGATTAATGCAAGAAGAGGAAGACATTTCTACCATACTTCTAAATTAAAATTGAGGAAATAAAAGCACCTCTTTCATTTTCTATTATATGGGAATTTTTTTTTAAACAACCATTCCTTATCTTTTTTTTAATAAGCAAGCTGCTATTAATAGGTCTGTTTACCTAAAGAGACTTCACAGAGATAATGTTAAGCAGTAAAATATTGGCTTGGCAAGCAGTGCAGGTTATCTAATCAACCTGGCTTAAAACACTTTTTCTTATAAATAGGAGAAACATGTAAATCTGATGCACATCGAGTCGCGAAAGTCAAGGCGAAGAAATTCAGAGTTTGAGATCTTTGTGGACTGCGATAGTAACATGGAACAACTGAATGAGATCTTCCACCTACTGAAATCCCACGTCAATATTGTATCCGTGAACCCCACAGATAATGTCACTGTGCAGGAGGATGGTAAGTAGGGAGGGATGTTCTAGCAAAACTGCACAAAGGGAAGAGGATATTGTGCTACTTTCTAATGAGTTAGTTTTCAATCCTTTTATGTCAGGTATTTGGGAACTAGTAGAACAAAGAAATGGGGTAAAAAAAAGGATGTTCCATTGAATGCTATAAGATGAGATGCTCAGATGGTGAGTTGGCATACCTTCATTGAAATCAATGGGGCTATGTTATTCACATCAGCTCAGGATATGGTCCATCACTTCAGCCAGTGCAAGTTATCCCTTCCTACACTTCACACTCCGTAGAGATCCATCTTGTGCTTCCCCAGTGGAGATGGTTCCATGTTCTGTCCCCTGTGTAGAGATTCTCTCTGGTGCTCTTCCTCCCAGGCAGAGATACCCACCTTATGAACCCCTTCTTGCTCCAGAGGATGCTCCTCTTGTTTCCTTCTGACTTCCTTTCCCACATCAGGATGGTGAGCCTGGATTAGTGCTGGTCTCATATAAACCAGGAAAAATGCTTTAAAATATCAATGAAAGAGTATTTCTATTTTCTGGTTCCAACATTCAGGGGAGGTGATATCCACCCCAGAGTGCAGGTTACAGAGTGTCCTCATTGTAGCAGAACTGCTGCAGTTTCCTTACATAGGGTTTGGGAAGCTGCAGATTGGGTGACCTGCAACCCTGCCGCTGCTGAGCTCTCCATAGGCCAGCACTTTGACTGAGGGTGTGTGTGAGGATTCAGGAGGGTGGCCGGTGGGACCAGGACTACAAAGATGCAGTGGTCGTGACAGCCCTCCACGTTTGGGTTTGTACAGACTGTTCTGACCCAGGAAGTGGAGTGATGGCCACAGCAAGGAGGTCCTGTGTAACTCCCTCACATAGGGCCTGATTCTCTACCGCTCTGCATAGTTGGGTGTAAAATGCTGCCATTCTGATTTGATGGTGCTTTTCACCTATTTTGTATTCACGTTGCACTGGTTGAAATGATTGAGTGAAGTTCAGGGCAACTGGTGTATCAGACCCATAGTCTTTGCTCAGTTGTAAATTACTACACAAGGTACAATGGAGAATAAGGCTTGTAGCTTCCCTGGACAACACCCATTTACTCTGGATTTGTATAGGGGCAGGGGTTGAACATAGCCCAGCTGACAGGGGAACAAAGGCTCTCTTGGGCTAAGCAAAGCCGAGTCTGTAATAAAAAATGACATGTCCCTTTAAGGCTGCAGGGCTACTGTAGCTGAGAACCCCAGACTCAGTCAGAAAAGCTGTTCACATTGACAAGAGCACTTGTTTCTCCTTATTAGGGAGGCAGTGTGGTTCAGTGGTCAGAGTTCTACACTGTGACATGGGAGGCCTGGGTTCTATTCACACCCGGCTGTGTGAGCTTGCGCAAATCACTTCCACTTCACTGCCTCTGTTTCCCTTTCCACCCTTTGTCTGTCTCTTCTAAAACTCTGTAGGGCAGGGACTGTCTCTTACTATGTGTTCATACAGCACATAACACAATCAGACTCTGATCTCAGCAGGAGCCTGGAGGATGCTAGTATAATACAAATAATAACCGCTACAGAAAAACCATTTAAGCTCCAGGCCCTTAGTTAACCATTTCCTCCCCCTATTTTTTATGACTTAATGTTCTTTAAGCAGAGTGTTTTAATGACACAGGAGGAAGTGTTAGATGTTGTGCTGGTGCCAGATAGGCAAAGGACTCCCTCATCCTCTTCATTGCCTCTTGGTTTCACTTGTAGCTGCCATAGCTAAACTTGAAACAGGCATTTCCTCTTTTAACCCACTGGATTTTATTAATAACATTGTGGATTTTATGCATTCCTTAGACATGGAGAATATACCCTGGTTTCCTAAGAAGATCTCAGATTTGGATAAATGTGCGAACCGTGTTCTGATGTATGGGTCTGAATTGGATGCCGACCATCCAGTAAGTAGCTTCCCTGCTATTGTAACAATGAGTGAAGACAGATCGATTTTTGTCCTATAAGAGTAGCTTTGTGGTTTTGACAGTGTAACTCTGGGACTTATTCCTGGTGTCCTTACTCAGGCATTGCTCTCATTGACCTCAGTTCTGCAAGCTTTAAAGGGAGTCTTGCCTGTGTAGCAACTGCAGGGTTAGGTCCAGAATACTCACAGACAAAAGGAATGCTGTTTTTAAATAGATTTATTTTTCCCCTAAAGTAATGACACAGTAGTTTCCCTCACCCCCACAAATAAAGAAAACAAATTGAACTGACTATAATTTCTAATATTCAGAGCAATCAATTAAATAACCAATTTAGTGTAAGTAAAGCTTTGAAAAAGGAATCCTTATCTACAGAATATACTTACATCAAGAGTTATGTGCCTGAAGTTGCTGATCTCCATTTTAAATTGGGGCATTTATTTATTTCATAGACTAACAACAACTAACAGGCTCCTATTTTGACCATTTATTTTCCCAAGACATGCTTTTACAATAGTGTTTTCTTTGTTAATAAGCTCATTTATTACAGAGATGGAAATGTGTATTACTTTTTCTCCACACATAGGGTTTCAAAGACAATGTCTATCGTAAGAGGCGAAAGTATTTTGCAGACTTAGCTATGAACTACAAACAGTAAGTATGACTCCTTGCAAAACAAGTCTCTTGCTTTGGAATAATGAGATGGATAAAATAAGTGTAGTTCACATTCACCAGGCCAGATCGCCAGGCCTAGCTGAGCTGTGTTTGGTATAGGAACCAGGGTGGGAGGAATAGAAAGGTTGATCGAAGCCACCTTACTACTCCCAGGATCTCTGATTGGTCTGAGGATCAAACTATAATGTAAAGGTTGCTAGCTAATTATGCCAGGTAGAGTGGTCCCAGTGTGATGGCTACATCAGCTGGGAAAAACTGGACTGCAGTGCTTTCTGGCTCAACCCTCTCTTACTCGTGGTCACTCCTCCACCTTGCGTAGGAACACACCCTGTAACTGAGAGAGTGGGGAACACATGTTGTACGGCTGGCTATACCAGCTTCATGATTACCCTATTAGGGCAGATCTCTATCACCTTTGTGCCACTGGAGTGGTGCAAAGACATTGAGGTCAGAATCTAGCCTGCTGACTGATAACTATAAATGAAGCAAGAAAATAATCATTATTCTAGTTTCTGGTTCAAAATAGTGCAGTTTCTGGTTCATAATAGGGCATTAGCTACAGTGGTTTAGAAGTGCACAGTGAAATGAAACTGAAAAGGGCCTTGTGGTATTTAGGACCCCACAGTGGGCTCTCCTTGAGTCAGATACAATCATGACTTAAGTGCTATAATTTGGCTCTGAGCATACTTTTCATGTTGTTGTTCCCTACCTGGGTTTAGATGTCAACCCTCTCCACTGGGAATGACACAGAAATGTTATAAACCTGTAATCACAGCAGCATACACTAATGGAATCAGCAAACACAGCATAAATCCAATAGTCTGCAGTATTATTATGTTGATACAGTTATCTTTGGGAGGTTAATTTCTATCATGTTTGTTTGTCAGGCCCTGAAATCACTACTGGTAGAATCATGACACAGCATTCTGATTACCTTCAATGGGTTTTGACTCAAGTCCTCAAGATCCAGAAGGCTAATGTGAGGTGATAGGCTAGGTTTAATACATTTTGACAGATACTCATGGTTTTTCTAGAGAAGCATGATTTTCACATGGCAAATGAACATTTAGATGCCTAGATTTATCATGCTGTTAACTGAGCTCATTATCTTTCCTTTCCTTTAAAGAAATTGATAAGGTAATGCAGACTAGTTATACACAGGTTGAGGAAAAAATTAACATTCTTAGGTCCTGATCCTGAAAAGACTTATGCAAGGCTTGAACTTTTTATTCCCAATGTTAAACACATATGGAACTCTTTGCAAGGTTGGGGCCTGAGTCCCTGAGCCAATTCCACTGATGTCAGTGGAAAGATTCCCATTGATTGATTACAGTGGGAGTTGGATCAAACCCGTAGAGTGTAAGCTCTTCAGAGCAGAGACCACATCTTCCTGTGTATTTGTAAATTATCTAATGCAACGGAGCCCTGATCCTGACTGGATTGTACAGCAACATAAATGTTAAATAATAACAGTACTAGGTAAATGCGTCATCCATTTCTAGAGCTATCCATTCTGAGCCATGACATCCTTTCTTTCTCCTTTCATTATAGCGGTGACCCAATCCCCAAGATTGAATTCACTGAGGAGGAGATTAAGACCTGGGGCACTGTATTCAGAGAGCTCAACAAGCTCTACCCAACTCATGCCTGCAGAGAGTACCTTAAAAACTTACCTTTACTCACCAAATACTGTGGGTACCGAGAAGACAATATCCCCCAGCTGGAAGATGTATCGCGCTTCCTGAAAGGTAATGTGCTAATTCTCTGCTATACCAATGGGAGTTAAATACCTAGGTGATTTGGAAAATCCCCCTTGATGTCTATCTGCATCTTTAGGCATCTATAAACCTCTAAAAACCTGCCCCTCTTTCCTCTTTTTTCCTCTTACTTAATTGGCCTCTCAGAGTTGGTAAGACAACTCCCACCTGTTCATGCTCTCTGTATGTGTGTATATATATCTCCTCAATATATGTTTCACTCTATATGCATCCGAAGAAGTGGGTTGTAGCCCACGAAAGCTTATGCTCTAATAAATTTGTTAGTCTCTAAGGTGCCACAAGTACTCCTGTTCTTTTTGCGGATACAGACTAACACGGCTGCTACTCTGAAACCTCTTTCCTCTGTAAATCACAGCCACTAGAGGGTGGCATGCTCTCTCTCTCTCTCTTCATATTGGCACTACAAATTATAAGCAGTATTTAGCTACTAGATGGTGACTTCAGCAAGTACTATAATCCAATCAATATGGTGCAGGGGTGCACATGTACATTGTGGGAAGGCAGACAAAAATCATGTAGCATTATAGAGATATTAATATTACATTTTTCTATTGCATGCATTTTAAGGAACTTCTTATGCCCAGTATGTACTTTTTGGTGACTAAAACAATACCATAAGTATTATCTTGTTTCTGTGCCACATAATACTTTAAAAATAAAAGGACTGTATACAGCCACTGCTGTCAGTGGAAGAGGATCACATGGTGTATATGACCTGCATGCTGTACATTTGAAAAGCACAGAGTCCAGTTTTAAAATAAATCTCTCTCTAAGAAGAGATCCTTTCTCCAAAAGGGAGAGGTGGTGGGTTTCCCATCACATGAAGTTCTTAAATTGAGACTGGATATCTCTAGCTCAGTCAGAAGTTACGGACTTGATGCAGGAATCCTTTGGAGAAATTCTATGGTCTGTGTTGTCCAGGAGCTCAGATTAGATGATCATAATGGTCCTTCCTGGCCTTAAAAGGTTTGAATCTATGAAAGTGAGTGCTCTGTAATTCTGAACACAATACAATGAATCAAAGGAGAAAGAGAAAGGAATCATTACACGATGAGACAACATGCTATACTGACATGGACTGCAAGGCATTGCTAACCAAATCATGAATAATATGCGAGTAAACCATAAAGGCAAACAGCAACCCTTTTGACACTTTCACCCCTCTCCCTTATGGTCCTTTATTATATCTTTCCCTCTCCCCCCCATTTTTATATATGTTGTATTATAGTTTTATATAATTGTGAAATCTGTGGGCAAGGCCAGCACTAAAGTGACTGCTGGAGTTTGTGAATGAGAAGGTTAGGCATTGTGCTAGGGTCTAGGGGAAAAAACAGTAGAAAACACACAAATTCAGAAGTATGTTGGCAATATCTTGGTAATTTTCAAATGTGGGAATTTTGATCATAGCTCATCTCTAGTTTTCCTCCTTGTCCTTGAGCAAAGCCATGCTGTGGTATTTAATCTAGAAGTAAGAGGAGAAACACAGCTTTGAACATTATAAAATTCTACATCACATTGACCTATGATTTATCTATTGCTTTTCAGAGCGCACAGGTTTCACCATCCGTCCAGTTGCCGGATATTTGTCACCCAGAGATTTCTTGGCAGGCTTAGCATTCCGAGTTTTTCACTGCACTCAGTATGTTAGGCACAGCTCGGACCCCCTCTACACCCCAGAGCCGTAAGTTATTTTATTTCTGGGGAGAAGTCAAATATGTGCACAAAACTGTAGTTTATAGACAAAGTTTTGAAACCTGGGTGCCTGAAGTTAGGCTTCTACATCCATATTCAGGCATCTGGGTAAGAATGGCCTGATTTTCAAAGATACTGAGTGCCTGCATCTCTCACTGACTTCATTGAGATTTTTGGATGCACAGCACTTCTGAAAATCAGGCAACTCTTTCTTAGGGATGGGATTTTCAAAAGTGCCCAGTGTTGGCCTAACACTGCTCCTCTTGCTCAATGAGAAAACTCTCACTGACTTAAATGGAAGCAGAGTTAGGCCAACACTAAGCAATTTTGAAAATCTCACCCTAGGCTCCTAAGTATGGGTTTAGGAGCTTAACTTTGGGCATCCAGATTTGAAAATTTGGGTCTAAGTATTTTCTGTAGAGTTAATATGATGCACTCTAATAAGAGAAATGTTTTTTCTGTTGTTTTGATATTAAATCATTTTTCAGTGTTACAAAGAGTTTTCTTCTGAGACAATTGTATTCGTTGGCTGGTACTGCTTTTTCACACCCTCAGCAAGAAAGAGCATCATCTCACGGCTTCTGCTTTGTTTCTTTTTCAGCGATACCTGTCATGAACTCCTGGGTCATGTCCCACTCTTGGCTGAACCCAGTTTTGCTCAGTTCTCCCAGGAAATTGGCCTGGCATCGCTTGGGGCATCAGATGAGGCTGTTCAAAAACTGGCAACAGTGAGTGTCTCAATCTGTGGCGGTGATAATCCCATTTGCATTGCTCTCAGCATTTTACAGGGCTGATCCCGCTCCCATTGAAGTAATTGGGAGATTTATCATTCAGTATCAGCAGAAGCAAATCATTCACTATACTGTCTGTTTCACTGGTTCTAAACTTTTTCTGTTCCGTAACTCCATGATAGAACAGAAGTGATAGGAGGTGAATGATATTCTCCATCTAGCCATAAAATAAGAGTCTCTGGGTATCATAACTTCCAGATTGAGAACCAATGGTCTGTTTCTTCTAAATCCAAGCCCTTTTATCTCTGGGATGAATTCCCACAATAAACTGTTTCTTTATCCTTTAGAATTAACCCAAAGGAAATATAGTTGTCATAGGATGCAATTGATTGTGTATTTTTACAATTTAGTAGTGAGAGGGTTTTTCCCTCAACAAATTAAATATATATATATATATTGTGGGTGTCCCATGTCCAAAGTCTTCTGGATGTTTTGAAAGAAATAAATTTTAAGAGGGGGGAAAAAAAGAATTATAATAAACAGAAACAATGGGAGGGATTTTCAAAAGCACTCAGCGTTGTCCTATCTTTGCTCCCATTGCCTTCTATGGGAGCAGAATCAAACCAATACTGCTAAGCACTTCTGAACTCTCCCCTCCCCCAAATATACCTACACAAATCTCCAAGGCCAGCAAACTGAAATAAACATCATAAATTCCTTCAGACAACAGAACTAAAGAGAAAACAGAAGGGAGCTTGACTCTTGTTCATGACCCTGTGGCTGATCTCATTATTTATCAGTTTTAAAAAAATTCAATCACTTCCAGTGCTTCTGTTAAGCTGCCTTTCAACTGGATGGTTCAGTGCATTTGTGTGGCAGGACTAGAACTCAGTGCTTCTGTTGAGATCAAAAGTCTCTGTGATAAAGGTGAGCCTAGGGTGTGGAATAGTAGCAGTAAACTTACTTGTCAGAACTGTCCAGCTCAGTGGTTCCTAACCTTTCTCATTCTGGGCCCCCTTCCACTTGGCAAAATGGGAAAAGCAGGGTAATTGTAACCCTCTGACATTTGCTCAAGACCCTATTAGGGGGTTGTTACACCCAGCTTGATAACCCTTGGTCTAGTTTGCTTGACTTACAAAATCTGCTGCACCATTAGTTGCATTTGTGTTGAAGACAGTTTCCCCCAACTCCATTTTAATTCTTTTTTGTTTTTCTTCTGTATCAGTGCTACTTCTTCACTGTGGAGTTTGGTTTATGTAAGCAAGAGGGACAGCTACGAGTCTATGGGGCTGGTTTACTTTCTTCCATCAGTGAGCTCAAGGTAAGAAGAGGAAAACATCCTCCCTTTATTTGCCCTCTTTCTTTGTTCTCACCTGATTTTTGTGGTAGTTTGTTCAAAATATTGGGTGGACTGAGTAGCTATGGCCAATGGCCCATTTAGAAACTGTGAACTGAAGCAGCATATCTTTGGGTAGCATTTATTCTGGAAGCTCCTAGAGCTAGATTTTTAAAGATATTTAAAGGTATTGATTTCAGTGGGAGTTTGGCATCTAAATACCTTTAAAAATCTGGCTCCCAGAGACCTCTAGGGATGATTCTGGTTAAGCGAAAAAAAATAGAACTAATAATTGGAAATTATGTCTTTTGGTGTGTGCTGAGCTCTGTTGCTCCCAAGTGGTTTTAGATGGAGTTGGCGGTGCCCTGCATTTCTTAGAATCAAGCCCTAAATAGATGTGTTTTTAGCATAAGGCTCTGCTTGTCAGACCAGATTCTGATACTATTGTTCTCATTGAGTAGCCTCCTGCTACATGTGCAATCATATTGGCTTCAGAGTTCAAGTATGTTGACTTGCTCACATTACAAGATACTGCTCACTGTAAGTAAGGGGGGCAGAATTTGGCCCTTTAAGGATAGCCAGTTTCCTAAGGGTTAGCTGGTACCAATCTGCAGACACAACTCTTAAAAGATGATGTGCTACAGAGATTTCATATATGGCATCATTTCGTCCGCTTCAACATACTGTTTCTATCCTCTGTTTTTTCCTGTGTGCTCTTGTGGTGCTGATACTACTCTGACATGTGCTAATGTTAATATCTTTGCTTCATTGCTTTGTCTATTATCCAGCATGCTCTCTCTGGCAATGCCAAAGTCAAGTCCTTTGATCCTAAGGTGACCTGCAAGCAAGAATGCATCATCACAACTTTCCAGGAAGTCTACTTCGTTTCTGAAAGTTTTGAAGAAGCAAAGGAAAAGATGAGGTACAGTCTGTTTAATCTCAGTTATTACCTAAGCCAGGTTTATTCTGATGTGTGTGTGCCAGCAAAAATTTCCTTTAATTTTTATTATCATGCTCTATTTTTAGCTCCCACTTGGTTGGAAAGCTGCTGTTCAGTATTTCCTCTCTCTCCCCTGTATTATTATTATTTTATTGTTATTTTATTATGTCAATTGATGTGGTATCTGAGCACATCACACATAACAGAAAACATCAGTCTATAAATGCCCACAAAGGGCAGCAATGTTAACCCCGTCCCTGTTACCTATCCATCTAATGGGAAAGAAATCTGAGAAAGAGAAAAATAAAAGACAGAGCTTTGGTTTAGAGCCATCTGGCAAAGGTAGGGCCATAAAGATGAGTTTTGCACCATGCTATGAAGGCAAACTGACCTGAGGTCTGATGGACTAAGTTTCACTGTCAGGGAGCCTCCATTGAGAATGGGCGCACCATCCTGGCCCTGCCAGGAAAAGCATCTCTGCTGATTTCAGCTCTCACAATGGGTTGGAATTCTCCCCTGTGTAGAGGGACAGACAAGGCCAAAGCACTCCTTGAGTTCCATTTTGAGGGGGGCATAAGATGTGCATAAGGCTTCTGTTGGCTCTGTGCACAAAGGAGAATTTTGCACAGTGGGACATGAGAAAAGAAATGGTTTCTAAAGGAGCTAAGTCCCAAACCACATAGGCGTTAACAGATTAAAAACAACAGCTTGAACTAGACATAGAAACAGATGGGGTAATTAATATAGTGCGGAGCACAGGTGTAACATGCTCAGACTGTATACCTCTAGGTATGAGCTGGGAAGTCTGAGTCCCAGTTTGTGTACATGTACCCACGCTAGCTCTGCTTGAGCTAGTGCCTAAAAATAGCAGTGCATCTGTGATGGCATGGGGGGTGGCTTGGGCTAGCTGCCTGAGCATGTACCTGGGAGCAGGGTGGGACTGTACTCAGGGCGGCTAGCCCGAGTAGCTGCCTGTGCTGCCGCAGATCCACTGCTGTTTATAGTTGCTAGTTTGAGCAGAGCTAGTGCAGGTATGTCTATGTGAGCTGAGAGTCAAAGGCAGATGTATGCACTGACCCATTCCAATCAGCTGCATCTGCTGCAGGTTTTTAACTTTGGCTGCTCTTGCCCCAGACAATGAGGGTGAGGTGACTTGTCAATGTGAGAAGGAGGATCCTATAAAAGAAACACATTAATGGTTTAAACTCTTGGCTCATGATGAAAGAAATATCTGCTCTAAACAGCAGGTGAAATGCTGCTTTCAGTTACACTAGTGTAAATCAGTTGATGTCAAAGGATGTGATTCTGATCTCACTTACACTGGTGGAATTACTCTGAACCAATGTAGTAAACAGTAATATCAGTGCAGAAAGCAGCCCATAACTTTCTCTTGTGGCATATAGCAGAGACAAAGTAAATGAGTTATTGAAGATCTATTTTTAGCAAGTGCTTAGGCAATTTGGTCCACTTTACCAAAGCCTATGCAAAGGTGTTGTCCATTAGCTAGGGTGCTGGATTGGGACTCTGGAGACTTGAGTTCAAATCTTGGCTCTGCCATTGATCTTCTGGATGACTGTGAACAAGTCACTTCTCTGCTGTGTGCCTCAGTTTCCCCATCTGTAAACTGGGGATAAGAATGCTGACTTCCTTTGTAAAGTGCTTTTAAATCTACTGATAAAAAACATTACATATAAGCTAGGAATTATGAAGAAGAAAAAGTGGTTTAGCTAATGAATTACTGATGCTGACTTCCTTGTGGAATTCATGTCAAGCTCCCTTAAAGAGTGATGACTGGCTCAGGGACACATTTGGCTTTTTGTTGATTTAATTTGAAACACTGCCTCTCTTTTTTGTTTGAACAGAGAGTTTGCAAAAACAATCAAGCGCCCGTTTGGAGTAAAGTACAACCCATATACGCAAAGCATACAGATCCTGAAAGACACCAAGAGCATCGCTAGTGTGGTGAATGAGCTGCGTCATGAATTGGACATTGTCAGCGATGCCCTCAACAAGATGGGCAAGCAACTGGGCATCTAACTCGGCCAATAATCATCAGCACTTTGCACTCAGCAGCTCTGTTTTTTTTGTCCTGTTTTATACATAGAAACCTCCTCTCTAATAACAGAAAAACGAATGCCTAGTGGGGATAGTTACTTTAACTTGCATGTTTCTCTACTTAACACCCTTTGCCCTTACAAAATGTTTATGTGACCCCTCCGATCTTCCCCACTCCATAAACCAATCAGGAAAGAAATGGGCTGCATTCATCCTTGAGAAGCTGGTGTACGAATACAGAAATCACCATATTGAATCAGAACAGAGGCCTGTCTAGTCCAATATACTGTCTGTGCCAGTGGCAAGGGCCAGCTACTTCAGAAAAAGGTGCAGGAAACCCTATGGGATAATCTACCCTCAGGGAAAGTTTTCCTCCTAACCTCCACTAATAAGAGGTTGGTTTATGACCAACCCTGGCCCAGGGCCTCCAGTACCTCAAAGTTCACCAGGAGAAAGTTGCAGTGGTACAGGCCTTCCCCCTAGAAGGGGAACAGTACTGATCTGGGAAATGATGTGATTGGAGATGTGCTGATTCTGAAGATCCCCACTGGGTGGCAGCCGCTTTTGGAACATAAAGCTGCTGAATGAAATCCTGACTCCACTGAAGTCAATGGGAATTTTGCCATTGACTTTAATGGGGCCATGATTTTACCTGCTGTCCCTGGAGTAGCATTTGAGGGAGGGCAGTACTGGTACCACCACCTGCCCTCTGCCTGGGGAATGAATCCCACCAAGATCATGGCAAGCCTTGGTGGTGCAGGGAGCTGCAGTTTATGCCTCTCTACTTCAGCTGGGGAGAATGTAGACCTGTGTCTAACAGCATTTTGAAATGGTATTTCAGTATCCACAATAGTCTTACAAAGGTGATGAAGCCCAGTTCTTAAATAGCCACTGTCTAGTATCAGTTTATATGGAAAATAAAAGTCCCTTTGATTACTCATTCTCATCATTGACCTTTCAAGATGCATGGCGATACATCCCAATTCTCTTCTGTAGGGCCTGATCCTGAGGGGCACTGAGCACCCTGAACTCCCATTGAGGCCAATGGGAATTGAGGGATATATTTTTGGCAGGATGAGGCCCTAAGTCTTTGTAGCTCATAGGTGTCTTTAAAGATCCTGTAATGAAAAAGAAATCTGTTATCCTCCAAATAGCATTCTGCTGATGTGGGAAGCAGTCATGTGGAACTGGCAACATGAAGCAGTAGTGAACTCTCCAGTTTTGTGAGTGTTCAAGCATCGTGGACATTTGCACTTAGCCACCATGGGGTAGTTTCTGCTCACTCTTAGAAGCTGCTCACTCTTAGAAATTAAAATCTGTAGATGAAATAAATAAATTAAAAGGATATTATCAATTTTAGTAGGAAATCTGTGAAAGGCAGGGCAGACTTTTTAGCATGCTAAGAATTGAACCTTCACTACTCCAGGTGATAGGGGAATGTAGCTGTAAATATCTGTATATTCACTGGAATAATGGGATAAAATCATGGCCGTATTGAAGTCAATGGCAAAACTCCCATTGATTTGAATATAGCTAGGATTTCATCCTTGAATTCCTAAAAACAGGGTGTAATTGATACTTAAATATTGCAAATGTTCATGCTGGTCCTCTGCACAATGGTGAATTTCACCCTAATAGACCATACCGGCCACATACATAATGAACAGCTTAAAATATGCTATATTAAGAGAGAGACCTAATATTAAATATTTTTTTCCTTTTAAAATCAAATCTGGATGACTTTTTTTGTTGTTGGTACTCTTTTTACTAGCACAAAATTACTTTTATAATGTTTTTTTCTTTTACATTTAGGACAGTCAGACCATATTTTTGATAAAAATTAACTTGACTTCTTAAATTACACTTTAAAATAATCTTTTGGAACCTCATGTTTTTAGAGAAGAATCTATTCAGTTTAAACAAGTGATAAGTGTGGATCTGTTTTGTCTGCTTATGTAGTAATGGTTAGTGTTGAGATATTTTTTGCTAAAAGTATTGGATTTTTATATTTTCAAATTATAATCAGAAGATGTAATGAGTATTACTTCAAATCTTAAATCTGTATTACATACAAATTTCAATAGGAAACATTGGACCTATTAAATTTCTGCTAGTACCTAGATTTAATAATTCTAGTGTTATTCTGTGACGGGGGAATTCTATCTATATTACATGATGCAAATATAGGAAACAAAATGCTAAGTTAACATATTTAAAGTGATGTCTTTTCAGGGTATAACCACATTTATATTTGGTTTTACCATGTCCAAAACTGCTGGCTATGTAAATTAGTAATATAAATAATTTAAGTATTTTTAAATATTGTGGATGCTTTAAATGATAAAAATTACTGAATTGTTAGCATGAAAACCAATGTAAAAACAAAAATCCCTAACTCTACAGCCAAGCAATAAACATGACTACTTGTGATTTATGAATTTACCTCTTTAATGGAACAATTCTGTTATTCTGGATGCAGTCTTGCCTGCAGATAACACATGTATGACTCCTACTGACATCACAGGGATTTGTATGTATTTATTTGTGGAGGGAATTGCCTCCCCTTGTGTTTTGCAGGCTCATACTCCCATTGACATTACTGAGACCTGGAGTGTAGAATGGGTTTCTTAGGCCCTGATTCTGCAAGATGGTCCCTGCAGGTATACCCACTACCTTCAGTGTGTCTCTGCACTAACGCAGGGCTCCATCTATGAGGCGATTGGGTCCCTAGGCTGTAAACTTTTTGAGGGAGGAACTGTGTGTGTGGACAGCACCTTGTGTGTGCCATTGGAGTACAAATAATAATACTAATGCAGGGTTTGCCACTAGCAAAATCAGACCCCTTACACACAAAGGCACCTGATTCTCAAAAGCTTTATAATTTGTGTAGCTATTTACACCTGGGAAAAATGAATGTAAAAAAACCCTACCAAACCAGTCTGGCAGCATTTTACACAGGTGTAAATGACTACACTAGAGTGCTCTTCTCTTTTAACTTGATAGATTGGTGCTAACATGCTGTTCCTGAGATACTTCATATTGTCTTTTAGTCTTGGTGCCCATGAATCCAAGAAATGTCACTGCCTGATGCTGCTACAAATGGGTAAATAAAATAGCAAATAACTAAGCAAGAAACATGCTTTCGGTATGGTCCAGATCCAGGTCCCTTTGAAGTTAATAGCAGTTTTGCCACTGGCTTCAATGGGAGCAGTACTGCAAAATAATCTGCAGCAATTGGTAACTCTTGAATGAATATGCTGTACATGCTTGTTTTATCAGCATCTGACTTCTGTCAATATTTTGAAAGCAGAAATGGATATAATAAACACTCAATACACTCATATTGGATACAATTCACCCGTAGGCAGTGGGATTGCACAAGGCCTATGCATTGCATAAAACTCACTTAAACTCTGTACTGATGTCATAATTGCAATTTAAATTGCACCTAGGCCTAGTTCTGCCCGACCTTCACTGGGGTGAATTTCTCCCCTCTGTGAATGCACATGCTTCATAGTAAATGGGAATCGCCTAGTTTAGTCACCATTTCAAATTCTGAAGCCAAGGATTTCTAAGGTCACAAATGTGGTAGTTACCTACATTCCTGCTTATTAATATAGAGTTTGTTATTGTTATCACAAACACATTATTACCACTATTATTATGGGCACATACACACAAGAGGGCTACCTTAGGATGCATCTTTGTCTTGGCTTCCCTAAAACCAGCAGGCTGACTCTCTGCACATTATGCCGGGAAGCGGTTTAATAGTTGGTGAACATATTCTGTGTTTTAGTGCAGCCCCCCGGCCTTGAGAGACATGACAGACCCTCTGTTTGCCTCTGGCAGGTCTAATCTGCATGGATTTCTGTGCAGGGCAGCCAAAATATAGTTCAAAATAGCCACAGGAGCATAATAAGCTTGTGTTTATTTGGGGGCATAAATCCAGATGTGAGCAGGAATTTGGTCTTCTGAATATAAACTGAAGTCTGAGACAATACAACAGATTAAGGTGAATATGGGATTAAACAATTGACACCATACTGGGATGTTATAGTCAAGAATATTTAAATAATAACAAAAGGTTTAGCATAATTCTGGATTGTTTTTAATTTGGACTATACCACAACAACAGTTCACATAAAATACCAGAGACTAAAGCATATAATCTGTCAATATGATATTAATACGTGGGTGACAATGATGATTTACTTGGATGGTAGCTTGTGTTAGGCCCTGTACACACACATAACAAAAGGGCAGCCCCTGCCCCAAAGAGCTTACAATCTAACTACGTATTATCCATTTGGCAGTTTGCAAGTGTAATTATCAAAATGGCTAATACAAAATTGTGGGCAAGTGTTAACTACCAGCTACTATCCTTTCTTACAAAATCCACAACATGAAATACAATGCGAGGGCTAGCTCTAGCTAAATAAACCATCATAACCGTCTTTAATGTTTTTTCGTAAATCACATTTATATGATCTAAAACCCCCTCATGTTTGAAGAACGTTATGAAGATTGAAGCCAAGCAGTTGAAAGGTAGGAAAGGCCAGACGGAAGGTTGTCTGTGTCTCCTGCATTCAGAGGGCCTGGGCATATACCTGATGTTAGTCTTGAATGACAGGAGCACCTAAACAACAAGGAGTCTGGTGGCACCTTAAAGACTAACAGAGCAGGTACTCTCCTGCTTCCCGCAGTGCCCAGGCGAGAGAGGCCTCAGGGCAGGACTGGGAGCTGGGTAGTGAAGCGGCTCCTTGTCGCTAGTAGCTGCAGCGTGACGGATCTGTGTGTATGTGAGGGGGAAAGCCCCCGGGGAGAGCACGGGCCTGTCCGGAGAAGGCTGGCTCCGGAAATTACACGGCGCGGGCAGCACGCGTGGCCCTGGGAGTAGCGAGCGCCCAGTTACCCGCAGCCCAGCCAAGCTCCCCTGCACCGCCTCCCGTCACAGGGTCCCCGCCCTGTCCTCTCCGCCCGCCGCCCGAGCGCTGCCCCGGCGCAGGCGGGGCTTCAGGCGGGAAGGGGCTGGGCTGCGCGAGGCCGCCGGGTTGGGCCCATGGAGGCGGCGCGGACGCTGTTTGCTTGGGTAGGTTGGTGCCTCCGGGGCAGGCGCCCTGAGCCGTGGAGGGGAGGCTGCTGCCGCCGGGGGCACGTGGGCGAGGAGGGGGGCGGGTTTGCGTCCTGTGCAGGGAAAAGGGGGAAGAAGCAGGAGGCTGGGAAGGTATTTTTTTCCCATTCTCTCCCCCCCCCCCCCCCCCCCCCCCCCCAATTCCCTCTTCCCTAAAACCAAATTAGGGCCCCTCTGCAAGAGCAAAGCCCCCCCCCCCCGCCCTCCGCCCGCACCAGTGGGAGCCGGACTGTAGCTCTCTGTGCCTGCAGGGGCTGTGTGGGGTGTCGCGTGCAGATGCACCTTGAGCGTGATTTCGGAGCCTTTTGCCGGTGGGATAATGGGTCCCCCTCATAAAGCCCCAGACGTGGCCCTCACAGGCCGGCGTGGGACCCTGCATCATTAGTTCTGGGACGGGGGCTGTGGCTGAAAGGGGGCTAGCCGCGCCCCCGGGGCTGGGCAGAGCGCCGAGAGCTCTGCCGGAGTGTCCCGAATGCTGCGCTTCGCAATAGCGGGGCAGCTGCAGCGCCTGGGTGTCACTACAGAACGGTGTAAATGGGTTTCACCCCCTTCTGCCCTTTTATTTGTCAAATTTCTCACAGAAAATCTACAGACAAGCCCATGCCCGGGTATAGGGTGACCAGACAGCAAGTGTGAAAAATCGGGACGGGGGTGGGGGGTAATAGGAGCCTATATAAGAAAAAGACCCCCAAATTGGGACTGTCCCTATAAAATCAGGACATCTGGTCACCCTGCCCGGGAATTCTCTCCGTGGCGAGTTCTGAGCTGTGGCAGGTCTGAGACGTTGCTGGAGTCTTGTAACAGTCCTGGCTGCAAAGCCGAGGGGTGGGGGAAACTGCTAACTTTCCAGGACTCCTTTGAGCTGCGACTATCTTGCATAAAGTAGACTGAGCAGATTGCAGCCACCGTTGTGTTTAATATAGAGGGACTGACCAAGAAGATTACAGGGCATAGCGTGAATGCAGCCTGCCACTCCCTGTGCATGGGCAGGCTACCGGCCCAATGAAATCACTGGGGCTGGAACTATTTTATAGTAGGGGTGCTGAAGGCAGAAACCATGTATTTGGGTTGTTGTTACTACTTCAAGGCAGCGGGTGCTGGAGCACCCCTAGTTCCAGCCCCTATGGTAGGGCTCCTTGCAAGGACAGCAGTTCACCCATGTGCACAATTGCAGGGTCGAGCCCTAGATTTATAACAAGTGGGAACATTGTATGCTGGGTCCAGTGGTCTCCTCAGGTTGCCTGTATTAAAGATCAGTGTGGCTATGCCTATGCGTTGCATTGTTGAACTCTGTGGGTTCGCCTTTGCTACTCCTGATGCAATTCTAGTGCACACATTATGGGCATTGCTATTTGTATGTTTGAGTGTAGCAAAGCCTTCCCTTATACAAACATGCCACACTGAATAAAAGTGCTAAAAAATAAATAGCAAAAGGCCATGGAACGGTTGTATTAAAGCTCTCTCGATTTCTGGAGCTACCTTGTTAATCTTCACATAGAACAGATTGGGTGCTTCTATGCTTCCTTTTTAATGTTTATCTTTGTGATCCTCCCCTTTCTGATCCCATTTGAAAAAGTTCAGAAATAAAATATATTTTCTGAAAGATTTCTACATTATGCCTCCCCCCCCTCCCACGCAGTGTGAGAGAATCTCAGCAGCTGTGTGTATTTTGAGAACTGCTACTGTCCAAAGTTTTTGAAAAAAATCCTTGCTAGGAGTTTGAGAGAGGAGCTTGCTCTGGCAAGTGTCGGGTCCTATGCCATCAACGTCTACAGAATTTAAGCTTTTATTTAAAAAAGAAATCAAATTTCTGTTTTTTATTGTTGTGAAGATCACCTTATAAATGTGAGTGGAATGTGATGTCTGCCTGAGACTGCTGACACTCCAGTGCCACCTCTGCTACTTTATAGCTTTGCTAAGCATTAGCAGTGTGAAATTAACCAACTCAAGGCCAAATTGGGGTTGCTTTTCAGAACCACGGTTGCCATTTTTCACACAGTAAATAAGCACCCTGACTTTCACAATAAGCCAAAAATCAAGATAATCCCATTTCAAAACAAGCCAATCCATAAGAATCCCAACACTCTATGTGACTAGATCCCCCCCAGTGTGCAGTCTGGAACTGTGGTGGGCCCGCTTGCCCCTGCTTGCCGGGAGCCTATCAAAAAAAAAAAAAAAAAACAAGCAACAAGCTACAAGCCAAAAACTAACCAACAAGTGATTCACAAGCCAATTAAGCCAAAACCAAGCCCAATTTCTGCGTTTTTAAAGTGGGTTTGGCATGTCTGTTCAGAACCCTATTTAAAGGTTTCTGGGAATGGACACCTGAAAATGTGTTCTCTCTCTCTCCCTCCCTCTCTGCAGTGTACCATTGCAATGTGTCATATGATAATACAGTCACCTGGTATCCACCAAAAATAATCCATTAGTAGCTGATTGTGCCTTGGCCTTTACACCGTGGAAGAGGGAGCCAATGGGCTATGCATGCCACGGCCCATATGCAAAAAGATCATAGCTGCTGACTTGTCAGTCTGCATTCTGCTCAAATATCTGCATGGTTTATGCACAAGTTTCCCCCTTCCCTTTGAAGTCAAGAGGAGTTTTGCCATTGACTTCAATGAGACCAGGATTTCAGCTGTGGTGCATAAAGGAGACATCGGAGGTATGGTGTGGATAGCTATAGTTGCCCCTACCTGCTCTGATTCTCACCCACAAATTCTGGTGTGCAGTAGCCATATTGGTCAAAAATAATCATAATACAAATTTGCAAGAATAAGTGGAGATAGGCACCTCAGGCAACTGGAAACCTTATTCCCCCATCCTGAAAGCTGCTAGCTGCCCAAGGTATCCATCTTCTGTCTTTCTGCTGTCTTGCCTTGCCCTTTTCCCCCCCAGCATCTAATTGTGTTATACTCCTTGCAGTGAGTATGTAAGTTTCCCTCCTAGAAGAGTTGTACAGTTAGTGAGTGGTGATAAATCACCAAACCATCTGATGATATATGTACTATTTATAATTGAGTGATTAACACCAATTTCCAGCTTCCGAATGGGCTGGAATCTCGAAATTTGTTGCAGGCCATGCAGTGCAGCCAAAAATCCCTAAAATGAACGTTGACCTCTCCATCCAAGTGCCCTTTTGTGATACAGTCTTAAAATTTGCTACATTCATTTCTTATTAATTGATACCATCTCTCTTTAAGACACATTGTTATACCAATAGAATAAAACCCAGCAGGATCTTATTAAGAGGGATAAGGCAAAGATGCCACATTTATTGTAAATATAATGGTAAAGCAAAAGATAAAAGTAAACAACGTTGTTTGACTACTTATTCCTATCACTACTTATTCCTTATACACACACACATATATATAGAGAGAGATTCATTTACACAATTATTTATTTAAGTTCTGTATAGGTGTTATAGTTACCAGCCTAGAAGTTGCTCATGCCAAGTTACTGGCCAGGTATCTTGGTCATGAGGATGGAGCCGAGTCTGTGTTAGATGCACCTGTTGCTCTTGGAGGTTGGCAGCAGAACCAGAGACTCAAAGTCATCAGTCTTGAGAGTCAATTCTTATAGGAATTAATTCCTATGTTAGTCTATGGGAGCTGTTTCATTTTGCTGTTGCTGACTCAATCAGCAGATGGCACATTCCTGGGAATATTCCTGGTGGCTCCAAACTGTCCAAAGTTTGTGTTTCTCATCCTTCCAGGTGATGGGGTGGATCCCAGTTTACCCTCCGGGGGTTATCTGGTCATCCACTTGACACATTCTTCGGCCGATGGATACTTCCTTTCTAGGCTGGCACCTCCCTAACCATTCATGTATATCAAGCATTCATCGGCATACATTTCATATCTTAACCATATTTTAATTTACTGTCTCCACCACTTTTGGGGTGTGTGCTAATTCATTTGAGTCTCCCGGCCCTTTAATCACAGAGGGTGGGGGGTCTGTCCTGGGAGCCGTTGCTATTACAATGAAGTGAAAGTCACTTAACGGCTTATAGTGTTTGTTTACATTGTATCAATTACTTCAAGAACAAAGTCAGTTAACTTGTTTGTAAGTTTTACATAGTAATAAAGTATCTTTCACAGGATAGATACAATCAATGGTTTCTACAGACAGCAGCTTACAAGTTTTAACAGAAGACCCAAGAGATTTTTGTACTTGGTGAAACTGTTGGATTTTAAAGTGTGGGGGACAAATTATGAGGGGGTCACTGTCACTTGGGGGAATCACTGTTAGTACCTTCTTTAAAATCCCTACAATATCAGGTGCTCCATAACCAGTGTGGGAGAGAGAAAGAACCCAGATGAGGCAGGGGATTTGAGGTGGAAAAGGGCCAGTGAAAAATCCTAATGATTAATTTCTGCTTGGGGGCAGTAATTTTGGGTCTGAGGTCACCAACACTCAGTAACAGGTTTTTGCTAAGTATGTTGTTGAAGGCAAGTAAATGTGCTATTGGAATTGATGTTGATAGCAGTCCATGAGTCTGGCTGATCTGACTATCAACTAATGCTGTTGAGAAGCCTCAAAGACATTTTAAGACTTCCCATATTTTATTTTCAGTGGTTACTTTGTGCTATTCAATTATCTGGCTTGGTTTTAGCTTATAAATATACCAGTAGCTTCTCTTTATGCCCTCTCTGAGTTAAAAGAGCTGACTAATGAGAGACAAGTGTTTCCATTTCACCTGTTCCAAGTTCCAAATGAGACAGCATGTGCTTCTTACTTCATTTTGGGGGTGTTATGCTGAGAGAACATCTACATTAATGAAAACTTAGCGGAGGGTGTTTACATTTATTAGCATAATTATTACATGCATAATTTTAACACTAACAAGCCTTACCCATTCTTTAGTAGGCACACTGGGCTAAACTCAGCACTGATATATTCAGGCACAATTCCATCAATAGCATCGTAGTTGTACTAGCATACATCAGTAGTGAATT